TAAGATGATGTTGAAGCTTATAGATGTGTATATGATCATACTATATAGTTTCAAAGAGAGAACTTAGAATCATCAAGTTTGATGCTAATATGTTGCACAGAAGTTTTGAAAACGTTCTTCAAAGAAACTCCATCTTTCAATAGAGAGAATTGTTCTGATTTAGTCGAAGTCGTGTTTATGGATCAGAGGCTATTGATACCATAATAGAAAAGAGATGAGGATGAAAGAGAGTTCATGTTTAGATTGAGAGAACGTGAAATTCAGTCATTTGGAATCAAAACAGAAAATGAAAAGTTAGTTACAGTGAAATAACTTAGTTGATACTTATAGGGAATTTGAGTTTAGGGGTGGTAAAAAGGATCCGACCTGTAAGGCATGCCCGTTTTGCACGCACTTTTTTGTGAGCCAGCCAAAATTTAGATCCGCACCCTCTAATGTGTCTGTTCCGTCATCATTTTCTTCACGTAACGGATTAAGATTTTAGCCCCGCACCCTCAACTATATCTACTCCAGCTCGTCCCAATTTTTTACGAGCTTTTGTAAGGCAAATCTAAATAAAACAGTTGCACTGAGGATAACTAACTCGGTGACAGTTCAACAAGAGGTTATTACAACAATCTTTTAACTAACTACTCACTATTGCAATTCAGTTTTCTTTTAATTTTACAATGTAGTTGTTGTTACTTATATCTCCTATACTATATAGTATGATCAACTCAAGGTTCACCTCTGCACTAGCAGGATCTTCATGGAAGAAGACTTTACCCTTTGAGGAGAAAATATTAGAGTATAACAGTTGTAACTGTTTTGTATGAAACTAACAAAACAGAATTGCAATAGGAAAGAGTTTGTTAGAAGTAGGGATGTAAATGGATATCCATGGGGCGGATAGTATGATATTCGTGTCTGCCCCGTTGGATAAATATGATATTCGTATCTGCCCCATATCCATGCGGATATCAGTTAAGCGGGTAATCCACGGGTTTTAAGGTATCCGCGGATATTTACAGATATCCATGAATAACTTTTTTTGTCTAAAATTATTTTTTAAAAATATATTTTTTCGCTCTCAATTTAACAACTAAACTTCATATTATTTTCATTCTTTTTTCACTAAAACATAATAACATTCAAACATAATATCCATACATTTCATTTTTAACAAAATAAAATTCATCATACCATATAATATAAAATATAGAAGAAGCCTAAATAAATATAAAATGACTAAATATGATTTTTCTTGGAATGTGAAAGGTTTTCTTTTTCTTCCAAGAAAAGGTTAAAAAAAGAAATATGAAAAGACTAAATTTCTTGGAAGATGTAATGACGTCTATAATAAATTAAAAATATTTAAATACTTTTTATAATTTATTAACGGGTATGGATATCCGCGGGTACGGGTATCATTAAACCCGCATCCACATCCATTAAATAACGGATATTTAAATATCCATTTATTTTATCCATGGATATCCATTAAGCTATCCACATTGTATCCGTGACGGATTATATCCGCGGATACCCGCGGGCACGGGCTTTTTTGCCATCCCTAGTTAGAAGGTTGTTTTAACAACCTTATGTTGAGATATTAGTGAGTTAATTACACTCAGTGCAACTCAAGCATCTTACAAATACAATCAAGTTATTCCATTGTAACTAATTTTCATATTTTCGGTTTAACTCAACATAAATTCTCTTTCATCATCTTCTCTTTTCTATTACAAACAACATATTTATTAAAGTGTAGAAAATTCTTGAAGAGAGGCATTAAGCGGCTCACCAAATTCTTTAACAAAATTATGAGGTCAAAGCAAATGTTAGATAAATTGAAAAGAAATATTTTAGTTCCAATATATAGAATAAGAGGGATATATAAAATTGTTCATATTATAGGAGAACTAAATTTGTGGTCATACTATAAAATTATGGAAAAGAGTGATTGAAAGGAAACTAAGAAAAAAGACTCTTAAACTACTAAAAATCAATTTGGTTTTATGTCTGGGAGGTCGACCGTGTAACCGAACTATCTATATTACAGCATGTGATGGAGCAGTATTAGATGGACCAACAAGACTGGCACGTAATTTTCACTCACTTGAAAAAGACATGTGATAAAGTGCCTAGAGAGATTTTGTAAAAATTCCTAGAGAAAAAAGAGGTTAAGATTGTCTATATTCAAGTTATCAAAGATATGTATGAAGGGGCATCAATTAGTGTGCAGACACACAGTAAAGACAGGCGATTTCCTCGTTACAATAGGATTGCATCAAGGTGCAAGCTTAAACCGCTACATTTTTACTTTAATTTTGGATGTACTCACGGAACACATCCAAGAGCTAGCACCGAAATGTGTTTTTTGCAGATGCTACAGTCCTACTTGGAGAGTCGAAGGAGGATTTAAATGAGAGTTAGAGACTTGGAGACAAGTTTTAGAAACGAATGATTTTCACCTATGCAGAAGTAAGACGAAGTATATGAAATGGAAGTTCAACAAAAGGAGAAATGTTTCTAACCTAGAGGTGAAAGTTAGAGACCATATCAACCCACAAATCATGCGGTTAAATATCATGAGTCCATAATACAAAACCATGGAGAAATAGATGGGATGTAAACCATCGAATTCAAGTTGAATGGTTAAAATGAAGGAGGGCCTCAAGGGTTGATGTGACACATAAGTACCACACAAGCAAAAAAGAAAATTTTATCGGACAGCGGTAAGACTTGTGATGTTTTATGAGACACAATGTTGGGCGATTAAGAATTAGCACAAGAATAAAGTAAATCTAGTAGAGATGTGGATATTGTGTTAAATGTGTAATAAGACTAGACGGGATAAGATTAGAAATGACAATATTAGAGAGATCGTTGGAGTAACACCTATAGTAGAAATTATGGTGGAAAATAAACTTAGGTGGTTCGGACATTTAGAGAGAAACTCTATAGATTGAGTTGTAAAGAGAATAGATCAAATGGGGGTGAGTCAAACAACTAGAGATAGAGGAAGACCTATGGCTATGAAAACTAATCATTAGATTTAAAATTGAACTTGCACCTACCTCAAACCCAAAATCCACCTCAAGGGACTGAGGATTGCCCAAGTCTTCTACGAAGACTTTGACCATGTCTCCCTCTATGTAGAATCTCAATGCCCTCAAAAATTGAAGATTTGACATCAAGAGGGTAGGTAGATGTGGTGGCCCAATAAGAAATATCTCAACAATCAAAAACTCAGTTTATGGACTTTGAAGGCTAGGGAACTCAGAACTAACGCTCATGGGCTAATTTATCCACATGTCCATTAAAATGGTTAGGTTCAAGGAAAGCATAAATATGTAGTTGAAATCGACCTTTCCTCACTTGTTCAAGCCAATTTACCTTACCAATAATGGGACCATGCCTTCTTTCGGACGCTTAGCTTCTTTCGACCATCCACCTTCCTTAACGGAAACTCTCCATATTTCATTATCATTCAGATTACAACGTTTTTAAACCTTAGGTTGTGTGTGCTTTCCTTGTCTTAGACCCTATAACACTCGCAAATTCTCTTTCCACTCAAAGAAAAGCATCTTTTTTAGTTATTCAACTAACCAAAAAGTGTACAAATACATGGACTCTAGTGGCAGAAATTTTATATCAAAAGATGTCTTATTTCATGAAACATGCTTTCCTTACTATGAATTATTCTCTGCTCATTGTAGTGTTGACTCCTCTCTTATCAAAACCACTCCATCACCCTCAAACAAGGCTTCAGCAAAGGGCATCTCTATACCTATAATTTCCAGTACCAAATTTGGATCCAGTTACATGGATGATCCCACTTTATTTCAATCCATTGTAGGTCCATTGCAGTATGCTACCATTACAAGAGCTGAGATCCCCTTTGCAGTAAATAAAGTATGTCAGTTGATGGTCTTTTACTGCAACCCAGTTGATGGTCTTTTACTGCAACCCGCATCTCAACAAAATCTGGTGGCAAAGAAATGGTCTTTTACTGCAAGCCACTTCTCTACAGTGTCCTATAATTCTGTCCCTAAGATCTTTTATGACAGTCTCAGCATTGTTTTCTCCCTCTCATAACCCATTTCTTTACTCAAGAAAAAAACACATGGAGCTAGATTTTTTTAGTTCGGAGAGAAAATTGTGCATAAGAGTCTCTTTGTTTTCCACATTCCTGCTCAAGAGCAGTGGACTGATGTTCTCTCAGAGTCACAGTTCTGTTTAAGAAATACAGCTCTCATAGTGTTAAACAAGTTGTCATTGGCCAGCACTCCTCCCAGTTAAAGGAGGAATATTAGGAGTATATATGTAATTTATTCAAGTGTTTTATTTGGACCTTTAGGCCTCGCAGTGTCAGCCCTTTAAGGGCGGCTCTACTTCTTCAGTAACCAATTCTGTTCCTGACAGTTGTATTCAGTTAGTGACAGTTGTAAACAGTTAGGCAGTTGCAACTGTTCTGCTGCATAGCCTATTGAATAAATATCTCTCTATGTACTCTTTTATGACAAAATAAATATTCTCTCCAGTTTTTAATTTAAGAAAAAAATAATGATAATTCTCAATTATTAAGAATAGTATGTTATCTCATTTAACTTTTTTGTGATAAGAAAAAGAAATTGTACTTATCAAAATGCCATTCATGAAAACTTATAAAAGTGGTTATTGGAAAATGCAATACAAATTAATTGATGCGTGTTTCAGGAATGATATCATTAATTATAGAAGAATTAATTGAGTTTTAGATATATTTAGACAATCAAATTGATGTAGTATTACACAGTTTTATCTTCTTCAATTTTCTCTCATTTTCTCAAAACTAGGAATTCTAAAAGTCTATATCATTATTCTAATGTATATACCTTTCAAAAGAGACAATATTCACATCTTAGAAATACATTTAAGACCACAAATTTGTTTTGAAAATGCAAAACAAAGTTTAAGCCGTAAGAGTACTTACAATATCCAGAAACAATGAAATAAAACAACAGATAATAACTAACCTTCATAGCTACAATTGCGAAGCAATGCAGTGACAATATGGCGAGTACAGTCATCATACTCCACAAGCAAGACTTTAAGGGATCTAATATGTAAAAACCTCTCCCAACAAATAATTGCCCCTTGAGACTGATACTGCACGGAAGAGGATTCCCTGTTCCCTCCCTCTCCAACCTTAACTTCTTCAGCTACTCCATTACATTTCACTTCGTCACCCTCACCAGCAACTCCTGTTTTTAAGTTGCTCTTCCCATCCCGCAAACTCTGAGTAAGTTCTTTACTGTCACCATCAACACATATCTGGTTACCCCTTGTCATTCAAAATGCCCAAGCTCACGATAAATATAGTCCGTCCTCATCCAAAGTAAAACAGCACATGCCACAATCTTCAGAGAACCCCAAAATACAACTGCAGGTCACTAGATATGCACTTCAGAAAATTATAACATTAATAAAAATCTATACAAGTAAGCCTAATACAAGTCTCACCAAATTTTTCACGCACAATACCCAACCAAATATCCATTGCAATTATCAACCTCAAACAAGATTACAAAACCCTTCATTTCTCAGTTCTCAGCCTCTAACTATGAAACACAGACACCGGAAACACGACACTGACACTAACAGTTTGACGCAGATAAAAATTAGAAAAAATGAATAAATTAAACATAAATACAAGTGTCAGCGAAAGTATCGGACACAGAATACAAACAGAGGTGTCGGTGCTTCAGAGGCCGGACAGAGAAGTATCCCTTACTCATCCAAATCAAAAATTAAAAAGCATACAAACTAAATACTGATCTTATGGAAAGCTAATATAATCCCAACTTGAAGTAACTTTCAAACCCTAACTAAGCTGAAGAATTTAAATTAAGACTTGAGAGACTTAACTTACTGAAAATCCAAAACGGTTAAGCACAAGAAGAAGATCCGTTAGAGATGAAACCATGAACGCACGAGAGATCTTTCCTTGAACATGAACAAGAACCAGAAAAGTGGCATCGCTTTCTTTATGCTAAATCGTTCACGCTAGAGAAAACAAAAACAAACAAAAAAAATTAGATAATATCATAACAGAAACATTGTTTAATTTCTTCACTATGAAGTAAAAAATTTCAGCAAAATAAAAAAGGAATTAGATGAGGATTACCACTTACCAGCTCAGAGGTATCACTAATCGCCATTATTAAGTCATTATAGAAACAGTTACTGATATTACATCGTATTAATCATCGCTAATTGAACTTTGGTAAACAAAATTATGAATATAGTTTTTGAAAAAAAAGAAAAATAGCAAGAAAAAAAATTTGGAGCTTGACCAATCTGAAGGTACGGTAAAGAAGCAGATTATGGCGATATTAGGAAGAAAGATATTGAGTAGGTGTGGTTTATGAACTGTGAATGCTGACGTGGATGAAATGGAGGTGTTGAATGTTTGAGATGTGCCACGTGGAGTAGATATTTCCAGGTTGGCATTGGTTTATGACGGGGATACGATCATGTTGCTCAAAGGCGGAGAGAGCAGCATAGAAGATCTTGGAGATTTAGAACGGAGCACGTGGCGTTGTTTCCCTTCGCAAATGTGTTGTGGTTTTGATGGAACATCAAGTTGATATTTTTTTCATAACCCATTTTTAGAAATTTTAGGTTTTCCAATAATACTCACGTTAAAAAAATTAGGTAAAGGGATTAGTTCTACTTTAAAAAATTAGGTGAATTCTCTTTTCATCTCTATGTTTTTTTAGACTTCAAAATTTCAAAAGAAGAATTATTATTGAAGTTTTTTTTAAGAAGAATTATTTTGTTTTTGAACTAGAGGAGTTTTTTTTAAGAAGAATTATTTTGTTTTTGAACTAGAGAATTGGGTTTGAATATATATGAAAAAGAAAAGGTTCTCGTTACACGGAAGTCCAAACATCAATTTAAATGATATGAACGTTTTTAAATTTTCTAGGATTTATAGGATACATGCTAGTTACTTTGTGGCTAACTTCTTTTTTATTTAGGTGGCTAAGCATTTACGAGGGAGTGGAAGACATAAGTGATGCAATTCACTCTTTTTAAAGGCACATGCCAAGAGAGTTAATGATTTTTCAATTCAATTTATGACTAAATCAATGGATGAAGTGGGTTAAGTGAATTAACGAGAGAAAATGTGTGTGTATCATTCAAGCATGTGATAAAGACGTGGCATTAGTGGGCATTTTTTTTTGTCAAATTATTTAGTGGCTGAAATTCACTCTTTTTAAAAGATGAATGTAATATCAAAGGTTCAAACACATGTCATTACATATGTTGTTCCTACAATGCTACTAATTGAGTTGTGTCATAACGAGCAAACTTGTAATTTTCTTAACTATGCAAATAATGTTCAAAATCCAAAATGAGTGCAAATGACTCAGTAGCATTCAAAACGAGTGAAAATGAATGATGTGTGTCCATCATCAAAATATATTAGTTGCCCTTGTCAATGTCATTTATTATCTTTCTTGATTCGAAACTAACCATACATTAAGTGAGCATTTAAATATTTATTATAGAATTATTGACTGAATTTTATATTTTTTATCTCGTAAAAACGCAACATGTGATCTCCTATACTAAAAAAATTATAATAATTTTTTATTTAAAAAAACCATTGAGTGAAATTGTGAGCATTGCCTTTTTTTTTAATTAGATCAAATATCAATTTTATAAGAAAATCAAGTTTTTTTATGACGATCTATACTTGACTTTTCGTTCTTTTTATTTAGTGCATAGAAATTGTGTCACACTTCATTACTTATCTTTTTTTCCTCTATTCTTGTGAGTTAGCCTTAATTTTGTTAAGTGAAAAACATAATTCACGTGCATGTAATCAAATACTGTGGGGATGTAATCAATTACACTCTTTTGTAAATATCAAAAGGAAACAACATGTAATCGATTATAGATTTTGCATAATTGGTTACAGGTTTTGGCTTTCTTTCAACAATTGGCTTTGCTTTCTCTCTTGATTATCCTTTTTATTTTCCCATAGTCAAAAAAAGGAAGTAGTGTCACCACTATTGTCCTAAAAAATAAAGTCAAAAAAGATAAAGTCTTTATCTCTCTCGATAGTGAAAAAAACACAACTTTTACTTACTCTCTGGCTCTCTTGTATTTTTTCATATACATCCTTTTATCATATTAACACTTATCATTGCTCTATCCTGAGTCAAGATCTTAAGAGAAAAATAAAGAAGTTAAGCATGCTGACGAGATTAATAAATATAGAATATTAATCACTCCTGTTAAGCATCAAAAAGACTTGGCATAGAATGTTGCCAAGAAAAAAAAAGGCTTTTGTAGGGACTTCAACACTTCGACAAGCCAATAAATAGAAACCTAAAAGACAAGTTCTTAAGGCTAGCCCACGTAAGCAATCAAGAGAGGAACCTTTCATCAGTATTGATGAAGACATGGAACAAAGAGAAGATGACCCTCTGATAAAAAAAAAACAAGACACCTAACACCAATCATTCCTGACAAGGGTTTAGAAAGCAAAAATTCAATCCCCAGCTTCAGGACCTCTGTGGACCTTTTAATTATGATCTCTATCTCTTTTTCAATCCCTCTCTGACAATCTCACTGCATCGTTTGACTATTTACTTTACACGCAAATCTATCTCTATTGTACTTTGTATAATGAATGTTGATTCGAGCATCCATTGGCTTATTCCCTTATAAATAAGTTTGTCATCAGTCCCATCAACAACAAATGTTAATCCATTCGAGAGGGCGACTATTGATCAGCTAGGAAAAGTTAGTCGAGGAAATCATTATTGAACTATCCAATGAGGTGAGGGAAGACCAACATCTCGACCAATCATATGATAGCCCATACGACTGGATTCTAATCCTGACCATCAATTAAGTTATGTTAACCAAAGTGCCCTAACACTAGAGAACCCATATCACGTTAGTCAATCACAATGGAATTAGGATACTGGTCGAAACCAAAAAAGTCAAGGCCCAAATCAACATCATCCTGATGTGGTATAAAAAGAATTACCACAAACGCCTCTTACTTCCACTCATTCAACAACAGCCAATAAGCAACCAATCTTAACAACAGCAACAATTACTCATTCCCTAATTCGGGACTCTTAATCTAACACTCGTGACACTCTTCTCAGTCAAAAGGTGATAGAGGTTATGAAAGAAAAGGATCATGTTTAAGCTTTAAAGATTCTTATGAGTAGTCGGGGCCTTTCTGTGGAGAAATCTCCAAGCTTTTCTACTGCATCGCGCAACAGACTCTCTGGCACTTATTCTATTGCGCTGATTCAATGATTGAAAAGAAAAGTCATCGATGTAGATTTGTTTCACACACTTGAAAAGAATCCTATCACCAGCTATCAAACCAAAAGTATATTGAAACAACTCAACAATGTCGGTTCGCCTGATGCCATTGTTGATTCCATCCTTGAGTTTTATTTGTTTCTTGACCAAAGTGCTCATAACATCAAGATAAAGAGAGAATCTGATGACAGACTCAAGATTTAAACTAATGTTATGGCTCAAGAATAGGCCTTAGTTGTTCATTTTCAAAAGCGAGTTAACAAACTAGAAACACATGGCAAAGAAGAACTAGACCACGAGGTGGGCAACTTACAATGAAAACATTTTGAGCTAGACGAAGCAAATAAAGAGCTGCAACAAAAGGTTGAAGAAGTAGAGAATTAGAAAGATGGGGTCAAAGCTTCTAGATTATCTTATATTATTGAATAACGAAACCATGAAGCAAAGGTTGGTTTCAACATCTTGATGTTACTTGTGCGCTGGAAGAGGAAGTGCAAAAATTGGGGGTCATAAACTCTATGAATGATACAAAGATCAAATTTTCCAAGAGATGTCTTGAGAAGCTTCAGAATGATTTTCCATTTTAATCTTTCAGGCTCATTTTGTATTAGTTGATTGTATTAATGACAATGTGCCATTTTGGCATTTCTTCAATTTTAATGCATGCTACTTTAGCATTTTATTTCTTTATGAATTACTCTCATGTTATTCGAACTTCCAGCAACATAGACTTCTACTTTTTTAAGTACTTACCATTTATCCTCATAATTCAACCTTCAAGGGTCAATTCTTAAATTTCACAAGTGTTACTTGAGAACATCTGGATGATTCAAAATGGGCCTTCCTAGCTTAGTGACCATTTACCTAAAGTTATATCCTTTTGATCCATAGGTAAAATGACTTTCCAAACGTAATCACCAAGTGTAAACGTTTTTTACTTAACTTTCTTATTGTATGTCTTAGCTATTCGTTCTTTTGCCTTATGAGAACGT